AATGTGCTACAAAATGCAAATGTACACAAATATAACAATAAAGAACACAATTAATTTGTCGATGAGAAAATGCTCCTCAGGAAAAACCGAAAGACCCTAATCTCAACTAAAGAGAGCATTGGGCCCTATTTTGACTTATTAGATAATGCACAAAGGGTAGGAGGTAGTAGTGGCCCTAATCTTACTATGAATTCGTGACTACCAAGAATGAAGCACATTAAATATCTTCCAAAAAAAAACACACACATGACATTTTGTCAGTAAATTTACGGCTACTTTATAAATTCAAAATACATTCAATTACCCATAAATTACAAATATCAAGTTAATTTGACCAAAAATTTTGTTGTTAGATTTAAACGTAACACTTTGAAGTATTAATCATAATAACTTCCTACCATTTGAGTGATACTGTTGGATTCCCAATAACAGATCTCAATTTAAAAAAATCTTGAATCTGTTAGTAATTGGGTGATAATGGTCCTATTATGCAGTCCTAACCTCAGATAGAGAGAGTTCATATGATAAACTTCGACTACGGGTTGAGGATTGTTGGACAACTTGAAAACTTTGGAACGAAAATTATTGTTGTTTCTAGACTAATAATGAAAAGATGGTATTTTCTGATTTTTTTTCTTCCATTTTTCATAAGGGTAATGATAGGGGGTTTGATAGTGTTCTCTTTCGGGATTGTGTTTATTTCTCTCTGGGTATTTTGTACTCTTTATAGATATACTATTCACATGTTATAATAGTTGATCGTTCATTGTAATTGTGATCAAATGATATACAACCAAAAAATGTTAAAAACATTAAAATATGGCATTTTATTGAGGAATCAAATGATGTGATGTTAACATGATGGGGTTCATTAAACAAAATTTCAGACCAACAATTAGCGAATGCCAAATCTAAATTAAAAATAAAATTTTATTTTGTCAAAATTTTATACAAGGTATAAAATTTTGGTCTGAAAATCAAGCATATACTTAGTCAATCCCAGTTAGTCCCTCCATTTGACTTTGTTTTTCGGTTTGGCAATACTCTTTTTGTGGTTGTGGTGGATAAGTAAGTGGCACTACAAGAAAAATGACTTTTACCGGCGTTATTAAACGCCGCCAAATATACAAAAAAGTTACAAAAAATTATTATTAACGTTTTTCCTTAACGCCGTCGAAACCTCCGTTGAAAAAATTACCGACGTATAATTAAACACCATAAAAACTAAAATGACATTTATTAAACTTTAAAACGACACTTATTTAATCGACGATTTAATTGTCAAATTCTAGTTGCTGGAGCTATTTTACGGCGTTTATTTAAACGCCAGTAATTATTATTTTTGAGCAACTAATTTCTGGTGTTTATATAAACGCTGGTAATCTTTTCTTTTTTTTTTAAATAGAAATTTTATTTATTTATAAATCAGAGAAATTACAAGAAGCAACCAATGACAATGTACAGGGCCCAGATGGATGCAACAAAATTTTACAGACATGAAATACGGCCCACAAAAATGTTTCTATATTCAAGCTGCTTTACATACAGACCTTCAGTTCAATTTCTTGAGAAAATCAGAGACAAATGAATGAACCACATCAGGAAACAAAGATGCAGCAGCATAAAACGTAGCTGGCATTTTAATCAATAACCCCCCAACACCCAGAAAAGGAAGGAAGATAAATTTGACAAACAGTCTCAACTTAAAAAAAATTATTGGAGAATGTAGCATTTTGCAGCCAATGCTTAGTAATGCTAAAGAAACTTGAGTCAAAAAAACAATATATGTTTGGAGTCCAACGCACCATCTGATTAAGCTTTGCCTGACTGCCGGAACTGAGAAAATCAGACNTTTTTTTTTTCTTTCTTTTTGCATGCAAGACATGCCTTGCATGTCTTGCTAAGTGGAGCTATCATCATGACCCTATATTATATATATCCATATGCACTCCTTAGTTTATATATGTTTATACATAAACATTTATATACATATATTCGAATTATTGACAATCTATTAAATTAGTCTCTCAGACCCTTAATCACTCCTTGTATATACTAAGTACATTTTATTTCATTATTATTATTTTATAACAATAAATTGATGTCACATACTTGTCACCCGATTAATTCCACACGCGCTAATGCATATAAAATAATAAAATAATATTACATATCAACATTCTTATTTAATTTTTCACACTTTAAATAAAACAATTCTCCCTATAATCATTTTTTATAAAATTATCTCTGAATATTAAAATATTCATCATTCAAGTTTAGGTCTCATATCATTACTCATAATTAAATACTAATCGTCGATCCTACGCATGCATGTCCCATGTGAATATGCTTATGACAAATATTATATATTGGTCATTCGTGTCCGGGTCTTACACGGTCTCAGTTTGAGTCTAATTTTCCCTCCCTAGGGTCTTTTGTGGCTGGTGTTACCTTTTTGAGGACTAGCTCTCCTTGGGAGAATTCTCGAACCTTGACTCTTTTGTTGTAGTACCGTGTAACTTGATTTTGATAGGCAACCACTCTTGTTTGAGCGTGTAAGGATAAATGCTACCCTTATAAAGAATGAGTCATCTCTCACGGTTACACACGGGGGGTGAATAAGTTAATTTCAATTCACTCAAACAAACATCAAATTATAACTTAATTCTACCATAATTACATCTTCTTAAAAATCAATTAATCAATTAAAATTAAGAATCCCTTTTACCAAGAACAACCCTATGAACCATGTAGATTGAAGTTATTGATTTGTCAATTTTACGATTAATTTTCAATCTCACACGGTGATCCAACCTAAGGCAAGCAACAATTAACCAAACCATTATGAATGATAAGAATGCTCAAAAAATCATATCATCAAACTCATAATGCCCCCCCCCCCCCCCCCCCCCCCCCCC